GAGCCCCGCACGGACAGGGACCCGCACGGACAGAGCCCCGCACGGACAGGGCTCTGCACGGACAGGGCTCGGCCCGCCGGGAGCACAGGGAAGCACCCGCAGGGCGCGGGGAAAGCGGCACCGCCAGGCACAGCTCCGGACACATCTCCAGCAAAGTCCAGGCACGGGGACAGCGTTTTTCCAGACGCTCACACAGCCAGTGCCTGCTGCATCTTCGAACTCCTCTGAGCGTGTTCCCTCTCCACCCCAACAGCAGGGATACGCTAACACACACAATACTTTCAGTAATTATTTTTTGAGTGAAAAGATCTAATTTTCCTCTCTTGATCACCATGACAAATGAGTCTCCGAGTAACGTGATTCAATATTACTGTTAACCGTTAGTGTTACTGTAAAATCTTATTATTTTACTTAAAGCAAGATTATAAAAAACAATGTCCATCTCGAAATCCACCCCTGGAATCTAAAGGCCATCTAAATTAACACTTCTGCAGGCTGAAGCTATACTGATAGGACTTAGAAATTTGAGTACTTCCCCATGTAATCTAAACAAAGTTATCAAAATTATATTAAGTAAATACATTTTAAGGAATAGTAAACTTTTGCAAAAATCCTTAGGATATTAAAAGTAGAATTCTGGAAGTAGCAGTAGTGGGCTAGACAAAAACACATCCGAGCCAGAGACCTCCTCTAGATACTCTCCATGGCTTTGAACTCGCTGAGAGCCTGCACAGGGTTCACGTGCTTCTTCTGGGATGCTCTCTTGATTTTAGTCTGGGTTTCATCTTGCTTCTCCCTCTTGACCAGGGGTTTCTTCTCCGGAGCCTTCATCTTCCATGAGACAGCAGGAAGGTTGAGCGAAGCCATGCCCTGGGACTTCTGGTACTTGGTGGATGCCACATAGGAAGCCTTTACGGTCTGCACCACCGCATTCATCAGGTTCTTGGCAGCTTGGATCAGGGACATGGCACTGTCCACCTGCCAAACAGGAGCACACCAGTGTCACACACCCTCAAACCCTCACAAACACGGCATTCCAGGGAACACCACAGTCCTGAGGTGCAAAAGCACTTGAAAACTGATTTATCTGCGTTTTCCTTTGAAACCAGAGGTTCCCAAATTGAGACAGGATTATTCTTTGGACACTCAGTGGTTGTGCCACCAACACAGAGGCACAGTTTGCCCTGCTCCATGCCTTTTCTCTAAGAATGGCAATGGGGACGATTTGTATTCTGCTGTTGGCTTTTGTGACTAAGCTTTAGCAGTAGCTTATTCCCTAATGAAATTAACAAAGTTGTAGTAATATCTTAATCACTGATAATAAATATTTAAATTGCCCTAGAATACCAAGTTGTACTGGGAAGGAAGGAACACAAGGGCATCCTCAGCCAGGCCTGGAGCCCTTTCCCAGCTGATTTACAAGAGCATCAAAATGAGGGGGAAATATGCATTTGTCGAAGCTTCAGAGCACGGCCGGGACAAAGAGCAGAAACCGGAGACAGGTGGAAGAGGGGGGAGGAACACTGTGGTGATCTCAGCTGAGACCCCGTTCTCCAGGGGCCAGTGGGTGGGACCCCTGGCTCGTCAATGCCCAGTGGTCCGGAGCAGAGTCTGGCCTGGGGCAGGGGTTGGTTTGGAGCAGGGTTTGGTCCAGGACAGGGGTTGGTCTGGAGCAGGGGTTCAGCACCTCTGCACAGCTTACACAGAAGCTCAGCTGCCTCTACACACTTAAATCCAAGTGTTACAGACACCTAAGGAAGGTTTTGGGGAAAAGCTTGAAGGCATGGTTCGTCCAGCAGCAAACCTTCCCTCCCACCCAGAAACACCTTTCCACTCAGAAAACCAGACTGTGTTCCGAGCGCTGCAGCAGTGGGTTGGATCCGCACCCTCCAGCAAACCTGTGTCCTCTGCCTTCCTCACCCCAGCCAGCAGCCTGCAAACCACTTCCACTGCATTTGACTGTTCCATGAATTATCATAGCAGGAAGAATCACATTAAATGCCAGGAGAGCAGGAGATACTTTTCTAAATGAGCTGTCAGACTGCTCAGGGTGCAACCTCTGTCTGCCTGGGCTATGGCTGTGCTTTGACAACACTCTGTGGTGTGTGGGCAATGTTAACACTGATCAGAGTTTTACTCTTAGACAAGTGATGTCTCTGGACTGGCAGAGGTCTTCATCTGATTATCCGACAGAAGCTTAACACTCCTGCTGGCAACATCCAGGCCCAGTGGACAGACTCATGGAGAAGGGATAAAACTGGAAGATCAGCCTACAGATGCCAGGCTGTTCATGTAACTAATTTATGGCAGAGAGGATGTAAATCCTGAAGACACTGAGCAACTGCAGTGAAACCCTGGAGTACGTATTACTGCATAATGATACATCTACTTCTTTGACAGCACAATGCCTTCAGCCTCCCAGCTCCCAGGACATCAGGCATGGAAGAGCACAGCAGCACATTCATCACAGATCCTAGCTCAGCTCCGTGGGGTTGGACGCAAGCAGGGGTCTGGCAGCAGCACGAGGGGCAGCACAGTCCTTGATGACTGATGCTTGTGCAAGTGTGTCCATCACCACCTCTGCTCTGGCAGCAGCTGCTGCTAACCTCCCTCAGCTGCTGCTGACTGAAGCTCGTTCCACAGCTCTAGCTGGTTTGTTGGGGAAACCTGTGCTACGAAGTTTATGCACTTGAAATATCAAACAGGATATCACTGGAAAATAGCACTGGCACGGGTTGCCCAGAGAAGCTGTGGCTGCCCCACTCCTGGCAGTAGTTCAAGGCCAGGTTGGAGAGGGCTTGGAGCAACCTGGTCTAGTGGAAGGTGTCACTGCCTGTGGCAGGGGGTGGAATGAAGTGAGCTTTAAGGTTCTTCCAACCCAAACCAGTCTGTGATTCTGTGATATTGAAATGGCAGAAGGTGGTAAGGTTTTTTCCATTTGCTGTTAAGGATTCAGGCAGCAATACTGGACTATCAGCCAATTATATCTCTTCCTGAAACCCACCTCAGTCCTGGCGTGGCTGGGCAAAAGCACGAGTGATCAAGCATGCCTGTCTGGGGCAAGGAAGAGTATGCCAGAAGAAATTAAGATTTTAGCTCTGCTTCTCTCCTCCCAAGTATCTGTCATACAGATTCCTCATGGGAGGAAGCATTTCATGAACTACAGTGAAAAAAATTATTTTAAAAGTAATGGCTAGACTAAGGAAGCAGGCTAGCCTGGGGCAGCCTCCAGCTGTCAGAAACCAGAGCAGCCACTAAAAATCCCTGCACTCTTCAGGGCACAGCTATCCTGAAATATCAACATCTCTGGAGCACTCAGGGACCCCAGCATGTTCCAAGGCTGTGGAGATGTGGGGTAGGTTTAGCTGTGCTGATTAAAGTGATTTAACCTCACTAAGAGTGAAAAGCAGTCTGGAAAAACAGTAGATTACATAGAGGTGAAGTGAATCTGTCTACAAACACTGTTGAGTAAGGAAATGTGAAGTTTGTATTTTCACACCAAGCATTTCTTCTCAGAACAATGACGCAGCAATATAAACTCTGCATACATTAAAATTCTGAATGCTCCAAAATCTCTTGTCTATATTCTATAGTGTTTAACATAAAAGCTCAGCTTGGAATAATTGTTCCTCCTGGAAGAAAAACCTCCTGATCCAGACATGTCATACATACCCCAGAGACAACCAGCTCCCCTCCAAGGTTCTGCACTTCAGCCTTCACTTTGCTGCAGATGTTGAGCTGGTGACAGTACAGTGCGATGCGCTGCAGGTAGGCCAGGAGGTCCTGCTTGCACGCCGAATCAGGGCACTGCAAAACAAAGGGCAAGTTTTACTGTGCCATCACAAAATCTGGAACAGAAACCATGGAGGGAGAAACCAGACAGCTCTGTCCTGCAACAGCAACTGTGCCTCGGAGAACATTCCCCATCCTGCATTTTCAAGAGACTTCTAAATAATACCTGGCCAGCACTAAATGCATCTAAAACTCAGTAGCAATAACCACAGGCCAGAGAACACAGGGCAGCACTGGTCATACTGCTGGGCTCCTTCCAGCTGTGTGGCTGCCCTCCAGCTCCAGAGGGGGAGGAGGACAAGGGCTATCAACCCTCTCCAGAGCAGGTTTGTTAACTATGAAAGGACCTTCCTGCATACTGTGCAGGACACAGCAGCCAAGATCTCAACATGCAATTAGCAGGTGTTACCAATTCCTGCCTCACTTCTCAGTCTTAAGTATTTCAGGTCAGAAATGACAAACCCAACAGTTACTCAGTGATATCCAGTGAACAGATATTTTCCTGACTTTTGCTCCCATTTCTTAGCAATGGGGAAACCAGGTTCCTCAGCAGGCACGGACTAACATTTTTAAGTTGCTTGCTGAAGCACTCATCTGTAAGATAAAGGCAACTTCGTCAGCTTTGCATGAAAGACCCCACAGGAACTGGAGGCTGTCATTTTCCTGGAACAGAAATGAAGGGCCATCCCTGGCCTTGCTGAGCTGAGCAGCCAGATGACAGATGAGCCAGTCTCACACCGGATTTCCAAAACAGAGGGGAGCCCTACTGAGGGGCAGCCACAGTCCAGAACAGGATCTGGAAGCATAAGACAGGTGTCTCTGGGAAGGTTTTTGCTGACCACACCAGTCCTGCAGCCTCTTTAAAAGCAGCAGCAATATGGTGACCAGCACATCTCCACATGGGCCACCTCAGCCCCACGGCACCCACAGCAGTGTGAGGACTAGTGAATAAAGCAACTGGCAAACATCTCTACAAACCCTTTGCCACCAGACTGGTGCTACTTTTGAATACACCTGAGGGCAGGTGTGCCACACTCCTGCCCCCACTCCCAGTGCTAATGGGACACCTACAGCTGCCCACACTCAGTGTGGGCACCAGACAGTTCCTGACTGGGCAACATGCAGGCAGGCTCTGATCTCCAGGCACCTCTGGTAGTGCTGCAAGCAGTGCCCAAGAGACAGACTTCTACCCCAGTCAGGGTATATTCCCACTGGCAGCAGCAGGGATGCAGGGGGTATCATGGTCTTACAGGCCGTGTTCTGCTGCCTGCAGGTGAGGACACCTTGCTGCGAGCATGAGCGTTTCGGCTCAGAGCAGGGAGTGCAGAGCTGGGTGTTCGCTTCACACCTACAGCTTCACATCCATGTGATTTACATCACATTGTGTCACACACACCCTTGCTTAAACCCTGCTCTGAGCCCCAGAGAAGTGCAACTAGTTGTACCCCAGCAAACTCCCATGCTCTTCCTTCCGCTGAAATGGCTACTCTGCCCATCATCATCTCATCTTCCCACCCAGCATCCACAGGTCTCCTGGACAAAACCACTCTCAGACTCACAATTACCCTGACTTTCTTCTCTAAGGCAGGCTGCACTATACCCAGCTGTATTTCAGATCTAGCACTGTATCAGCAGAGCATGAATTCACCTGGCATTACCCATGGACAGGACTGCAGGCAGACCCTGCAGTGATCTCTATCCTTCCAGACCTCTGCACCCCATACAGAGTGATTTAAGAACTCTTCTCCACACATTCCTGTTCACAGCAAAATCACATTTCATCTAGGACCCTGATCCTGTGCAACAGACCATCCAATAATGATCCATAATGCACATGGCATGATTGGAAGATTAATCTTAAATGTGGCACCTATTTATTACTTAATGCTTCATTCAAGCTGAGGTTTGCTGCTTACCAGCCACACAACCTCTCCTCTGCTTTCAGGGCAAGGAGGAAAATCCCCTCCAGGGTGTCAGCAGCAGGGTCTGAGCCCTAATTCTTCCTGCAGACCTTTTCTCTACAGCTATAAGATGAAAGCAGGAACCGATGTTTCCCTGCATAGAGGCACCAAAGGAGATTGCACCAGGGGTGTGCAAACAGGAATCACGAACACATGGAGCATTTGCTTCCCACAACAGTAACTCATCTGCCAAAAAAGACATTTAATTCTGCAGTGAAGGTGAATGTAGCTAACACATACATTTGGCTTTTTCCAGGGCCAGAAAAGTGGTTTTTCTAAGCCAAAGTGGTCTCTGGGCACAGCAGAGATAACCCAGCTGTACTGTATGTGGCACACAGAGCTCACATACACACCACAGGGCACTACAACAGGACTTGTGGCAAGCTGGGACAAACACATCAGGCTGTGTAACAGGCTGTGGAGATCTGCATGGCTCCTTGGGCATGGACCTGGTGTGACTATCAGCCAACAGAAACACCCAGAGTAACTGCAGCTCTCAACATGGGCATGCTGCTTCCATCAGTGAAGTGAAACCCTGCCTAACCAAGCAGCAAAGTTTGCAGGTTAATTTTTTGAAGCTAATCAATATTGGTCGGCAGTACAAGATGTTTTAGAGAAAGTCCACAAATAGCATGGGCCAAAGAGCTAAGGAAAAGCTGAAACCATCATTTTGGAAAACACTCTCCATCTCCCAAACAGCTCATCTAACACAGCAAGTGAGCAGCATGGCAGTGGAGGGGGTTGAGGGTTGACAAATGCACAATCCAGCTTGTCAGAGGGATAGTTAGACAATTCCAGCTAGTTTATGGGTTTATGTAAACCATTTAAGGAAAGACACTCTCAAGGCAAGAGGCTGCTGCATGTTCCTCAATGACTGAGGAAGGCAGGAAAACATCTGTGGGGAAACCAGTGGAATAGGAGTTATCACTGGGTTATGTATATGATCACATCATCAATATGATGTGAGTTGAAAAACCACATCCTCTCTTGTGTGTGCTATTTCTGCAGGCAGAATAGAGGACTCAGTTCAAAGACACACGATGTTTAAACGGAGATGTAACACAAGATAAAAAAGAGCATCCACAAAAGGCACTGTGGGTACCTGTCCTTTCCTAGGTAGGAGCACTCGGACGAAAACCAAAAACCCCAAAAAGGCAGCAATTTCGACACTGATCAAGATAGATTACAATACTGCATTAACCTACAGTAGCCACAGACACAAATGCCCTATGTGCAGAGCTGGCTTGGGAAGATTCCCACAGCATAGCACAGCAGGGAGATGCAGTGTAGATGGAAGCAAACGTGTCAGTGACACCTCCACCTTCCCAAACCCCCCACACTGAGGTACTGCCACAGACTCAGTGGTGGTTGTTGGCAAAAGCTAAGCTGACTGCTCCTAGTAAAATCCAGGATCCATCCTGGACAGAGCAAACACACACCCACATTCACTTTCTATCACCCCAGCAGAGTCTGTGGAGAAGCAGAATCATTGTTTTTTCCCTTTTTGCAAAGGAAAGGGTTGGAGAAGACAGAAGAGCTCTCATGGTGTGTGCTGACGGAGACAAGCACACAGCCCCATTCCCACATGTCTGGTAGGTGAAAGCCAGCAACCACAGAGATGTTTATTCCTCCCATTGCATCTCCAGTTTGGAGAATGAACACTGCTATACCAGAAATTCCCAATCAGTGCCCCTTCCAGCCCTGGGAGCCAGCTGCGCCTGGCAGGAGCTGACAGCAGGCAGTTGGGGGAGTCAGCTCCTGTGGCAGAACAGGCACTGGCAACCTGTGCTGTCGCCAGCCTGTGCCCTGGGTATGTCCCTCCTACACCAGCTCCTGCAGCCAGGGACCAGCCTCTCCAGCAAGAGTCTGCTAGAGCCCTTTACTGGGAAGTGGGGCAACCCCTACATACACCCCCAACTCCTTTCCACTGAATGATCTAAACAGACTTAATCTCCCACTACTATCAAAGAAAAAAAGCAACACAATTTTTCTCTGGCTTTATAGGTTATTTCAACATTGAAACAATAAATAATACAGAGAATCCCTGTCTTGCAGCAAATCATTGTCATTGGTGTAGTGCTTATAACTGCTCTGTTGTGCTGGTTTGAGCTGCAGTAGAGTTAACTTTCTTCATAGAGGCTAGTATGAGGCTATGTTTGGGTTTTGTGCAGAACACAGAGTTGATAATGCAGATATGTTTTTGTTATTGCTGAGCAGAGTTTACACAGAGTCAAGGCCTTTGCTGCTTTCCATACTGCCATGCTGGCAAGGAAGTTGGGGATGCATGGGAGACTGGGAGGAGACACAGCTGGGACAGGTGACCCAAACTGACCAAAGGGATATTCCATACCCTTTGCCATCATGCTCAGTATATAAGGTGGGAGGAAGGAGGAGGAAGGGGGGACATCTGGAGTGATGGTGTTTGTCTTCCCAAGGAACCGTTACACATGATGGGCCCTGCTCTCCTGGAGATGCTGAACACCTCCTGTCTGTGGGAAGCAGTGAATTAATTCCTTGTTTTGCTTTGCTTGTGTGTGCAGCTTTTGCTTTCTCTATTCAACTGTCTTTATCTCAACCCATGAGTTTTTGTAGCTTTTACCCTTCTGATTCGCTCCCCCATCCCGTTGGTGGGGGAGTGAGTGAGGGGCTGTGTGGTTCTTGGCTGCTGCCTGGGGTTAAACCACGACATCTGTATTCCCCCATTCCCAACAAGCAGCCTGCTGCTGGGAGTGAGAGATGCAACAACTTGGGCAAACCTGTGGCTGATGGCGAGACACTTTCTAACAGACGTGAAATACCCTGGAAAACAGCCTTTACAGTTTCAAAGGAAATGTGCTGTAAAACTGCCTGGTGGCAGGAGGAGGAGAGCTCCTGACACACTGACACAAGGGGTCATGATTCACCGGTGTCACGCAGCGCACAGGACACAAAACCCATCCGTTTGCCACAGTGAGGATTAGCACAGGAAGGCATTAGTGCTCTGTGCTGTACTCCTCTGTAACTGTCACACTGCTCCACAGTAACACATTTCTAAAGAGTATGTAAGCACATCTAATGAAATATGCAAGCTGAAAGTATTAGTAGAGTACAGAGTCAGGGAAAAAGCTATATTCTTGTCAAAATGACTAACTGAACAGTACTGCTCATATTTATCTTCGAACATGTGCTTAAACTTTTACATTTTTAAGGACCTTAGTACTACTAAAAGGAGCCATTTAGTTTTCTTTTATATTTTGAAATGGCTTGGTGCAGAAAACCATGCACCAACTTTGCATAAAACATGTGAATTTAGAAAAAAAGCACTGTAAACCTTCAGCCCCCAGATCCCCTGAGATCTGTAACACAAACTGGTCCATGCTTCATTTACCTACAGCAGCAGCACACCTGGTTCTTCCAGGTGCATGGCTGGCAAAATGCTAGGCAAGGACACCCATTAAAAAAACCCTTTTTAACTTTATCTCCCCATTGAACGTTTCTCACTACATCATTAATAAACTAGGGTGTAGACAAGCACTTCTAGAAGCAACATTAAAAGAGAGAGCTGCAATGATTTACTTTCCAAGTGACATGGGTTCAGCTAAAACCTGGCATTACAAATTTCCATCCAGAGAAGGACTAGAAAGCAAGTAACAACTGGACAAAGTGAAGTTAAATCCATGATCTCAGACTTGACCTCCCTGCATTTCAGAGTCTCTCTTGAAGGTGGCATATTATTATTAATGCTGATGTTTCTCTGCAATTTGAGTGTGGGCTTGGCCCAACTCTGTTTCTAAGTGGCTCAGGACAGGCATAAAACCCCCTAGCTGGCCATGCTCATCCAATCCTATGAGAATTCCTTTCAAATCCTTTTGTACATACAGCACAACAACATGCACAACAGCCTGCACAGCCACACTTGCTCCGAGGCTTCATCAGCTCTGACTGGACAGTGAAAACAATACCAGAGAGCTGTGACAACTTCACCACTCTGTCTGTGGGGCATCTGAAAATTAGTAACATTAAGAAGCTGCCTCAAAAGTAACATTGAAGGTTTTGCAACAGGCCAGGTGCAATAGTGAGGGTGCTGCCCGTGCAGTCTTGTCACTGCTTTGGGCACATTCTGAGCATGACGGAAGCGATGTGAATCCAGTCTCAGTCCTGTTCAGTCACAGCAACTGGCCTAGATACTAGGTGACATGAAGCAGTGCTGGCATATGGCTACCTTAAAAATGGCAAGTGTCTGATTTAAGCCAAGGAGCTGCTAGTGTCACTGCTGGGCATACTTAGCTGCCTACATTTCTCAGGGTGGCATGACTGTCCCAACCCTGGCAGTGTTCAAAGCCAAGTTGCCTAAAGCCTTGAGCAACCTGCTCTGGTGGGAGGTGTCCCTGCCCAGGGCAGGGGGTTGGGGCTGGATGATCTCTAAACTCCATTCCTACCCCTTAACGTACGAGAGCAGGTAGAAGGAAAAGGCTAGAATTTTCCAGCAGCCAATCTGGAAAATCAGTTTAAAAGCCCCCAAGCTAAACATATTTTCTTCTGTCCATCATGTCTGCAGCACTAAAAGATCTGCTATTCCTCATTTGTGCTGGAGGCTTATGCAAATGGATTGTGACTTACATGATCAGCAATGGTCCGTCCCAGCTTGTCCATCCTTGACCCAGCCTCTGCGATCTTCTTGGCTGCACTGATCACATCAGATGTATTCTTCAGTGGACCTTTACCTCTGCAAAACAGAACAGACTGTACCTTTTAGCACCAGAGGAACAAAACAGTGAACTGTATGTCCCTTTTCTCGTTCTGTTGCATACAGTGCTGGAAGTGACTCCTCACCCAAACTGCAGGAGTAAGGTTGGACAGGAATAGGCTGATGGAACCATTACAGCACCTTCATTTTCAAGACATATACCCCCCTCCCAGCTCTTCCCCACATTTATCTTACATCTAGGAATAAAAAAAAAAAATTTACTGCTTTAAGCAACATAATGATGATAAGAGATAACATTTTAAAAGACAGATTTGCAGTTTTTATGGAATGGAACATCAAGTTTAAAAAATAGTGTTGTATAATATCTGGTAAATTAATTTCAAAAGGCATAAACCCCCTCTCTTTCTTCTGCAAATAACTGTACTAGGAACTATTTCTGCAGCAGAGCAATATTGAGAAGCCCATAGAATTTAATGTTGTAAAGAACTGAGCAAATATATATATATATATATTCCTTGAGACAAGAATCACCCTTAAGGAAGAAAGAAAGAAAGAAAGACAGGCAATAACTGCTGTATATCTGCAGATCAATTTAAACAGTTATTACTACCCAGTCACGGCACAGTAATGCATCTCCCCAGTTAATTCACAGGCTTGAACAGGGCAACATTTAAAGGAAATTATAAGAAGTAAGACCCTTAAGAGTGCTTGCACCATGTTTCACTGGAAGCCCAGCAGCCCACACAGTTCCGAGTGTGCACAAACTAAAAAGCCTCACCTGGTGAAGTCTGTCATTTCCATCATAATCATACACATCTGTTTGGCCAGGACAATGATGTCATTGCCACTGTCATCCCATTTTGATACTTCAGCATCCAATTTACTCTTTTCTTCCTGGAAGCTTGCGACTTGCTCAGCAATCTTGGCTTTCTGCTCTTGAGGGAGTTGAGCCATGATAGCCTGAAAGAGAGAGTTTTCTCACATTGCCTCCTGCTGCCACTTGTAGAAGGCTTTTTGGAACATTTCACTAATAACCAATTTCAGTCATGTAGATGTGGGATAAAACTTTAATGGCAATCCTCTACCTAGAGGCTTTACAGAGCTATTTCCTTCCATTCTGCATCAAAGTTTATGCTCTTTCTTAAGAAAGTGTGCCCAGAAAGACAAATCGACACCTAAAATATAGACATTTGAATGATAAAACTGTTAAGACTCCTAGCAAATTTGCCATCTATTACCATTCCTCAAACAAAATGTGCATGTCTTATATAGAAAATTTTAATGTTTTAAAATTAAGTTCCACTTGGGTATTGAGGATAATAAGAAATATTACCAGCCTCTTCTCTGCAAAAATCTATCTGTACTTCTTGAAACTTGTATACTGAGGAAGGAGTAAGTGAAAATAAAGAGTATGTGCTTACTACTGAATAAAATCTCTTAGACTGGGTTTACAGGCTGTATGAGACTCCATGCCTTCATAAATACCAAGAGCACTCACACCTCCTGGAGCAGGCAAAGAGGAGTCTTGGGTACAAAAAGGCGTCTTGCAGCAGCTGGGCTAGAAGGGCAATGAGCAATGCTTACATTTCAATAAAAGGAGGAGAGGGTACAGGCATGGAGAGTGCTTGTACAAGGAAGGAGAGCATAAAAAATACTCTCAGTTACTATAATTCCAAAGCCAATGTGGCAGAAGTTTGATAAATAAGGTCTGGCTACATCTTGCCTGGCCAGAAGAGCATCCACAAAAATCTGCTGCAGCACTTTCCCAAGAGTGTAAATTGCTATCAATCCAGAAGGGACATGTCAAATAAACCCAACAGGCAAAGTCTGGTTTTCCTTCAATGTACTGATTTTAGGTTTTCACCTATAAATGATTACATATTGCCTATCAACGCTTTCATTTTTAACAGTCACAGGAAATGCAGAGTTGAAATGATTTCATTTTTGAGCTCTTCTCAACATTGTCTTGCTAAATGCTCAGTGGCCAAACACACACCAGCACGTGTGTGAGAAGACATTTTGTAAAAATTTCTTGCCCAGAAAGTTAGTACTTGTCTGTTGAAGATAACATTAATCCACTGAGGTGATCTGCCCCATATCTCCCTGCAGAAGCTCACCTGAATAAATGGCAGTGCCTACAATGTCTGTGGTATTTCAACGTTGGTACTAAAAGGATTTTGACCTTTCAGAACATCAAAACCAAAACACAGATGTTTCTCACACCCATTAGACCAATGCATGCTGCATTTCACTTCACCTCCTTTTCAGAAGAATACTGGAAACAGAGAATGCCAGTTTGCTGATCCAACTCCACCCCCAAAAAATTTAACGTGGATTTTCAAAGCAAGTTGAACTGCTTCTTGAGGGCAGGTCACAGTTTTGTAATTCTCACATTTCTCCCTTACCCTTGCACTCTGTCCAGCAATGAGCTGATCGTCTTCGGTCTGGATACTGGTTCTGCTGCGGACATCAAAATCCTCAGTCTCAAAGTCAGAATCATCCAACTCTTCAGGAGTCTGAGAAAAAATTCAATCATAGTCAAACAACAGATTTCATGGCTCTGAAAATCCACATGATTTTCAAGCACAGAGAATGGAAGTCACTGAAAGTAAAAATTATCCACTGTTTTCAACAAAAAGGTAAATACAGGGACTGTATCCAGGCCGTGAACATGTGTGATTATATATGCTTCAGTGCTCATGTTAAACACCACAGGGATGCCCAAAATTACACAGCAGTAACTAAACATCTGAGATTTGCCAGGACACTAATGCACTCAGCATTTGAAAGACAGAAAAAAAGTTTTTGCAAAATAACAGCATTTTTGCAACTCGATTAAATGTAAAAGCTTCACTTGAGATTCCGAAGCTGGAATTACCCACAACTTTAAGGGCTGGTTCAGATCCACAGACGGCATCTTAAGCACAATTATGAATCAAAGCATCGACTAAATTAACAACAGATAAAATATCTCAAAAATTTATTCTTATCCCCCAGGAGAAGCTGAAAAATTGTAGCTAGTAGGGCCAGCTTTAATGCTGTAGGCTAAACACATCTGACCTAGTTCCTACTTGCCTAAGATTTATTTTTGCTACTGCCAGTCTGTAAGCTGGCAATTCTGCAGAACTGGATCAACAAAGAACTTCACTGATAAATGCAATAAACTGTGATTAACAGATAAGATGCAAATAAAGTTCCTGTTCTTTAGATTTCTTTCCTAGGATTTGAATTCCACGACATGGTTTCCAATACAGACATCTTGAGATACAGTTAAAATAGAGATGGATATGCAAAATAGGTGCCATAAAGCAAAGGTGAGTGTACTGACAATAAAGACCCAGGGCATTCCAGGTACCATCTCCTCTCCCAGCCTCGGAACAGGGTAAACCCACAAAATCAGCAGAGAAGTAGCAGCTCAGGGTATCCATATTTTAAAAAAATATAAAAAAACATAAAGAAAACAGTTCTGCTGTATGTTTACAGACTATTTGTGATTCTCAAGTCCCCTCCTCTACCCATCCACCCCACAACGCAGGGATACAGAGCATAATTCTCCTGTCATCCTGCCACCAAGGGCAGAGACTCCTCTGGAGGATGAGTGGCTGCCTGGGGAACAGGGAGGGAAGGGCTTCTCTTCAATAAATACCCATAGAGTGAGACTGTAGTTTTGAAAACACACTGCAAAAACAGAAAAATGAGTTGTTTGATTGACTTTTCCTTCTGGTCCCTGTAAAGACTAACTGCCACTGCACAAAGCTCAAGTGGAACAGTTTGTGGGTCCTGCTGAGCTCAGCTGCATCCCCCCGTGAGCAGGGTTACACCAAGCCCTAGAGAAGTGGTGGCTGGCATCTCCATTTGGATGGCTCTTTTATCCTAAAATAAGCCATTTGGACACAAATGCTAACATTTTAAGTTTTGTTTTATAGGTCACTGCTGTGTCACCAGGGAGCTGCCATTAGCTGCTGGCAGCTGCAATAAAGCCGTGGCACCCTGACACCAGAGCGGCGACGCAAGGCGAAACGTCAGGATTCCTGGCACCGCCGTCTCAGCCAATTACTGCCGATGTGGAACTGGCAGCCATGCCTCCATGTCCTGAATAACAAGGACTGCAGCAGGGGGTGAATCAAATTGGTTTGTCTGCATAGCAGGAAGACACTGATATCTTCATCTAACATTGGTTGTCTATAAATCCCAAGCTTGAGTTTGAAAAGAAGTCTATAGAGAGCACATAAGTCGTTGTCAGCTTTTCTTCTGGTTTTTCATCTAATCCTTTGCTTCAAGCAGCAAACATGGAAGACACTGTTGCAATGGTTACTGTAATCACATATATTCTGGGGCTGAACAGCCTTAATTTACTTATCACCAAACTGCATCTGCCATGGTTACCACTCTGAAAGATGAAAGCAGTTTCTCAGAGTCAGAGGAGTACAAGGAAAATAAGTAAAAAAGGAATAAAACCCCTACATTTGCTTTAGCTGCATCTGGCTCCTGCCCATTTTTGCCCCGCTAAGATTCAAGAAACAGGCCCATAGGTCAGCCTCAACCAGAACTCTCCTGCACCCTTCAACCAACTGCAGGAGCTCTTCTGCATCTTTCCCACGCGCCTCCCACCGATCAAATGCAGCCTGACCTACCAGAAATTGGGGTTTCCAAGTCACACTCATTGCACCTGAAACATGTAACCTCTGTGAGCCTCTGTGAGCTGCCCCTGCTTACCCATGTTAGCCAATTAACAAATTACAAGCTCTAGGAACTACAGACCGAACTCCTCTCAACTTGCTTTTGACTAACTAGCATTAATTCTCAAAATCTGCTTAATGAACAGACATTAGATTTTAATTCTAAGCTCTCAAACCATCAACAAGCTTCTATAGTTCTGAATTCATTTGCTGTTGTTAACTCAAAGGTCACCGATCTTAGCACATTAATGAGCAAGGCATTAACATAAGATTACAAAATGCGTGAAGAGTATTTAGCATCACAACTCAGACTATCATCGATGCCCAGATCTGTTTAATGAATCTGAATCAAAACCTACTGTTCAAGTGCTCCACAGAGTGATCAGCAGTTTTTAAGACTCAGAGTGTTAATATGAGCTAAACGCAAATCTTATGCTGTCTGCTCTCAATTGCACTGATGGCCATCAGTTCAATAAGGGCAGAGGAACGCGAGCAGAAAAACGCGAAGCTGTTGAAGTAAGTCATGCTCACCCGGATCATCAGCACAGCTTTCCTGATGTCCCGGATGCCGTCATACACCAACCGTGAAGCATCGATGAATTCGTTCTCATCCATTGGCTGAGCAGGGTCTGAGCTCAGAGCTTCCACAGCAGCTTCCACTTGCTCCGTAAACCGCGGCATAACTGAACCAGAACACAAAATAAATCAGTCCCCACAACTCTGCCACTTTCTGCTACACACTGCTGTAACAGGCACGTGTGTCCTTTGCTGGTACCTACCTCAGGGAGCTGTGAGGTGTGTTCATTTAAATTCGAAACATTTGTTAGAGGATCTCAAGTCTTAATCCCCTTAGACACTGAAAGTTTATCACACCCTGCTAGTGGACAAGGAGAAAAAACCTTGGGAAGCCCTTAGAAACCATGGGATAAAATACTGAGTGTGAGTTTGATGCTCCCTGCAGATGTACATAATTTTTTGGGGGTAAAAATAATACCACCCCAGGAAGCTCAAGTTGATCTTCAACTGGAAAGCACTGGAAAGGCACTGGAAAGGAGCAGATTTCACTGCTGTATTTCAGTGACTCATTGTGCCCTAGGGAGAACATCCCAGAACCAGTCTGCTGGTTCTTCAGTGACACCCTCGACTCTTCTTCAAAGCAAATAAAGCAAAACCAACAACTAGTAGTTGACACAGCACTAATTAAAGCAACCACAAGCACTCCTTACCCTGTCACCAGGAAACACCCCGATGTATTGTTTAGGTGTGGGGCACTACAACCTACAATGCTTCCTTAACAGCTGTAGAGATACTTTACAAAATTTACCCTAATTATTACCCTAAATTTATTCTGCTTGGTCAATGTGACCTTCCTTCTGGACCCTGAACACCTGCAGAGCCTGGTACAATACCCCAAGTTGATTACAGAACAACTTTCAAGCACTCGCTCAACTATTTAGGGCTCATTCCCAGAGTTTTAGCTTTCCACAGCCCAGTCCATGACAACACCCAGAGAGACCTTGTGCACAGCTGAGCTTTAAGCCAGTCAACATGGCAAAATCACATTTCTCACTTTGAGACAACTCTGCAGATAACTCCAATTGTCATTACAGTATGTAAACTGGGTCTTTAACAGATTCCACAGGTACATTAGTATCCCATTGCCTACGCAATTTCAGGCAACATCAATTTAGTGCTCTTGGGAGTATGTGACCCTTACCTGTGTTGGACAGTAACTTCGTTGCTTCCAGCACCTTCTCCGTGTAGACTCCTGGCTCGTAGTTATCCATTTCCGAAGTGACAACATGAATGACTCGAGCAGCACGGCCGCGAATCGCACCAGCTGTGCGGTCTAAGCCATCAACATCTTTTTCTTGGAGAGCAATGACACATTTGTTTACATCTTCTAAAATATGATTCTCTGGTGGTAAAAGAAGGAGGATTTAGAGGGTAATATTTTCTTTTCTGTCGCAGTCATCAGCACTGCAATTGCTCAGTTTGGAACCTGCTCGATAAAACCTCCATGGAGATGCTGTCAAGCATTAATTTTTAAGCTCGCTACAACCAGCAAAGAGTTGCCCTTCTAAACCAAGAGTCAAGAAGCCATCAGTCCCTCCACTGACTGGTAACTATGCTTCCTGCCCCTGTCTGTACTCAATTTTACCAACAGAAAGGCTGAAGTCTCCCCTAGTGTATTTCTTTCCACATTCCTCCCCTGGACTGCCAAAGCCCGTATTCCAAATACCTACAAACCACTCCCACACCATTCCATGGGGGGAGGGGGGGGGAGGGGGGGCAATGAGGCAACTCCCCAGCACCACACCTAATCCACTCAACCCTCTAACTGACCAGGGCACCTGTGGCATGTTTCTAGCTTCCTCCATAGTGTTTTCCTACAACCACGTATGTACCACAGAGAATATTACACTGTTAGTCCCCCACTCCACACCAACATGTGGTGATCTACGCAGAAAGCGATCTAGCCATGGAGTACTCACTGTCTAATCAGAAAACAAAAAGATAAAGCCAAGAACTTCATTTGCAACTCACTTTTTGAATATTTATTTTCTTTTTCATCCAGAGTTATTTTCCTCCATTTACCAAGTCCAAGAATCCCAAAATGAGTAAAACCCCCTAAGAAATTTCTGGCAATGCCTAGAGAGGTTGAGATCTACATTTGGGGAAACCTACCCAAGAGGTCTCCCAATCTGTTATGGACCTCTTTAATGTATCAGTACAAATGCTTTGTTATCTCCATCCAACACCAGCATTTGGGCTGCTTGGTAAGAAACCAACTTGGAAACACTTCTGTTCTGTCACTTAAAATAGTTTCCAGCATTACTTACCACTGAATTAATCATACTACACTGCCAACCCATGCAAGTGGCTTTTATTCCCTCTGCAGGTAGTAAAAGAGCCATTTTGTAAGGGTTTGTAGAGACAAGAAACGCACTGAGTTGGCTGGCAGAGGATTTGGAGGAACTGGCTGGAAGCATTGCTCTGGGAAGTTATGCCTGATTTACGTAAAATTACCAGAGCCAGGTGCAATGTTGCGAGACTTAGTAACCTGGACAAAAAACACACTGGTGAAATCCCTCTGATGCAACTCAGCCTGAACAGGTTCAGCTGAGGGCAGAATGTGGCCCTGAGAGAAGCACAGGTTCATTAGTGATTTGATAAGTCAGTGAGCAGGCAGCCAAAGCACAGGAGCTGCAGCGAAGAGCACTGAGGTTCAGTATTTAAAGCAAGACACAGACAGCTCTGCAAGCTGCAACGGTCACAAGAAAAAACTTCAGCATCAGGCCAAAACCCAGACTGTTTATTGCTTCAATTCCTTAATGAATAAATTAAGCCACAGACCATTTAAAAGCCTCTTTGGATAATCCAAACTTTAATAAAGGGCATGGAAAAAATGAAGATGAATATTTAAATGTCTGCTGATCATTTAATGTCTTTTACAGACGTGAAGTGGCCAGAAAGTCACTTCTAAAGATAACCCACAGGGCAGCCTGCAAGGGGTTTGTGGAAGTGCAGGACTGTCAGGTGCTTCTGCTCTGGTTATACTCTCCAGCTGGATGGTAACAGGTAAGATTTGACACCATGCTGTGTGCTTGTAAATAAACACACTATCTGTCCTACAGGCACATGGACCACAAATGGCTGGTACCAAATGCCATCTGCTGAGGCCTGGGTGGCAGGGCCCAGGAAATGCTGACGTGCAGGTCCACTGCCAGCACCTCTGGGGATGGAAGTGTTGTCCTGCATCAAAGCCCACAGCTGCCCTCCTGCTGAGTAGGAGGAACATCTCACAGCCACAGAATATAGCACAGGCAACAGCGAAGGGATCTTGTCCCACCAAAACAGCTATAGGGAAAATGGGGTGTTTGGGCAACAAGGTAAGAGGAAAGATATTTTTTCCACAGAAATGATTTTTAGACCAAACAAGGAAATACAATAAACCGTGAAAAGTCAACAGAATAAAAAGTCACCCACGACTGTCAATCCTCAATCCACCCCCATCAAACACCTTCCACCTCCACATTAAAGGGATTAAGAAATCCTTTTCCAAACAACTCAAGGAGTCTGAGGGGGTCTGGGGGCTACAGGAAATCAAAATCTAAGAGCAACAGTCAGGAGATGAAACCACAGATGCCTAAATACAATTGTGCTTCTCGCTGCATAGATGTCCATGCTGAAACCTCTGTTGCCAAGGGGCACTGGAGGAACCAGGTCAAGCAGCAGCGTCGGCAGACGTGGTCATGGTGCAAACACTGGAGTGTTCACATACTTGTAAATACAATGTTCATCTTGTAATGAAGGAGGACAATCATCAGGCCCAGGCAATATTCACTTGGAGGCTCTTCAGAAAAAATAGTTTCACTGAGATGGGCAATCTCTGACATAAACCTCGGTCACCGGCAGAGGAACAGAAGGCAGCAAACGGAATGCTTTTCAAAGGAGATCCAGGTAATTTCAGAACACTGAATTTGACAATTACATGGTGCTATCAGCAACTGCTCTAAAGAACAGGGATAGTGGGCACACCAACACACCCAGAGTGCTTCAGGAAGGCACTGATAAGAGGGATAAGAATTACAGAAGAGCTTTGAAATGAGGAATAATGGAACAGGCAAAAACTCTGCAGTCAAGAAGGATGTGACTGACAGCATATGGCAGAAATCTGTACACTTAAAACAGCACAAAGAAGGCAAGTAGAGAAAAAACCTCTTCACCATCTTCTGCTACAAGTAGGGGCATCAAATGAAGCAAAGAGGAAACACTGCAAAAACCAGGAGGTTCTTTCAACAGAGCACACTTAAGCTGTGAATTTTGCACAGGATGAGGGAACTGCTAGTAGTTTATAATGGCCGAAAGAACAACCAACATCCAATTAAATGAGAAATATCTGTCAAGGACTGTTCAATAGATAGCACCTCCGATGCTGGAGCTCCCTGAGCTGCAAATTCCTCATGGTTGGGAGCATATAGGAAAGATCTTTAGGCCCCAGGACTCCTCTGCCATTCAGCTCCTGTCCTGACAATTAGCCACCCCCAGACTGCTGTCTGGGCCCTTCTCCTTCTATACGAAATCAAAGCACTGTAACCTCAAAGTCTACCTGCAACACTGTGCATTGAAGCATTCTTCTTCTATGATGCTGTGCTGTTATCTAAACCCAACATCTTTTTCATCGAGCCTCTACTTGTGGACAATTGACACAATTCTGTAGCTACACAGTGAAGTAAATACTTCATGATGGACAGCACATCACATTGTAGGTGTGTGGGGTGGGGTTTTTTAAATATATTTACATACACACACACACACACACAGACTCACAAGAACTCTTTTAAATCTGCTTACATCCCAGTTAGTATCTGATACAAACATCCTAATAGCCCCAAACAGCAGTTTGTATGGTGTAAATCATATCTGCCATAATTTTATCCAAAGAGAAGTTCAGACTTTCAGCAGATGAGTTGGAGTTGTGGCATTTACATGGAAAACATTTATCAACGTTCAAACAAGTAATATTTAAAACAATATTTATTGCTTTAATATTTTTCTACTATCTCTTCGACAACACAGCACATACAAATAATTACTGAGTGTTCCTGAACTTGGAGTAGTGTCAAACTACATTTCCATGGCTCTGTTTTTGGTGGTGAGCACCCACTCGAGGTGAACTCTTGAGTCCCGAGTGTCATGGCGCAGGAGTGGCATTCCCTGATTTATTGTTCCCACTGGCACTGCCCAAACCACACACCACTCCCCACCCCCTCCCCCTGCCCAGGATGGAGGGAAAAGGTAAAAATCTTGGGTTGAGACAAGAACACTTTACTCAAAACCAGCAACGAAGTAAGAATATGAAGAGAACAACAACTCTGTTAATAGCAGAATGTACAGGACAGGGGAAGGACTCACAGCGGAACACACCACACCCCCCAAAGGGAGCTGAAGCAAAGGGCAGCCAGGGCCCCTCCACCTCCTCCCATGGCCTGAGGTAGGAGAGGATAACTCCAGGGTCCTAGAGTGCCCTTCCTGGCTGCTGCAGAAGTTAACCCTGTCCTGGCTGGAACCAGGACACCAGGACACCACGTCACCCTGTCACCACCCCAGAAAAGAGACATTCCCTGCTTACTGCCAACCCCTCGGGACTCTTCAGAGCAACCCAGCAGTGGGCCAACACCACAACCTCAAAGGCAGAGTGCCTGTCTCCTCGAATGGCACACACACAGATGCAGCCCCCTCATTCCCTTCTGAGGCCCACCTGCCAGCAAGATGCAGCTCTACACAGACTGCGTTTTCACAGGCTAACAGCTTTTCCTCTTTAAAACGTTTGTACACTTGTGGGCAAGCTCCAAGTGGAGCTGTGAAGTTCAGCACACAATTCCCTCTAAATACATTTCCCCAGAAACAGGCTCTTCACAGCTGTGCCATTGCAACTACTGCTGCCCCAGTGAGCATGCAGGCACATACAAAGAGCTCATATAGTCAATTGCCAAATAAGTTTATGCTAACTCATTGCAAAGAGGATTTCTGTTCAGAACTCAGGGAACCACAATTCAACATGTATGCTAATGCAGGTGACTCATCACAGAAACACCACTTGGTTGGTTTTTTCTTTAAATTTTAAAAAAATAAGGTCTTTTAATTCAGGACCTTAATTTTCCATCTACATTTTCTAACCATGCTCACCTGGTACCTCTGACTCCACATATCTTTCTGTGAAATCACTCTTTACAACTGGAGGGTTTAGGACACTTGAGATGCCCAAACCTGCTTGCTCCAGGGAATGGAGACTGCCAGTTTGCAGCAGTGATTTGTGAAAGCTACTGCAGACTCAATTCACATGGTTACATCACCATGTCCTCTGACCAGAGCAGAATTAGGAAATAAAAATGTTCCCATTATTTTTAGGTCACAGCAGCTTATAGTGGGTCTCTTTATCAGTGATGCTGATAAAACAGATTATCTTTGCAAGCACTGTGCCAAGTGTAATTATTAATCTATTATACTGATCCAATCTCTTTTAAAAACTTTACTGAAGTTGACACGGTTTAAAATATTCACATTTTCTATATGAACAGTTTTATTTTAATTAACCTGTACGACTATGGTTCGATAGCCAGTTTTGTTCACATAAGAAGATTCTAAAGTGAACCAAGGGATCATTTTTTCTGCTAGTTCTTACCTTGGACATAAACATGTTCTATCTGCCCCAAAGTTACTGGTGAGGTTAGTCTACATGAGCTAGATGGTAATTCATCATTAGTTCAGCCATCAGTTCCAAATCTTGAGACCAGATCTCCTGCTTCAGTTTCACATCTCACTTGGCAGAAGATGATGCTTACCAGGTGATATAAGCAGGATGTACCAACATCATCCCTTCCAAAAACTCAAGAACACTCCGAAACGTGTTAAACCCCTCAATCCCAGAAATAAGCTCACTTAGGAGAATAATTATTTCCAAGATTGCACCCCTGCTTACCTGATACAGCCAGGAAGTCATCAATGGAAGTGATGTCATCAACAGCATCTGTCAGCACACGGACTTGCCTCTCCCACTGCTCTTTGAAGAGATCCATGTTTTCTTGAGCCAGCTTGCTTTGGGGTTTAGCAGCCAGGGCCAGTGCAGCATTAATGACCTGTAAAACACCTCTGGATTTTTAGAACATATCCCAACAAAACAATTACCTTCTGTATGTTTATCCAATGAACTCAATAGCAAACAAAGCAAGTTTAGTAAGTTTTGAAGAACTTGAATTAAGTAACTTGAATTAAGGAACTTGAATTATTATAAACACAAAAGTGTTTAATATTGTTGCTCTCACATCCAACTCACATCTGCTTCCACATTTATTATGGTTAGTTATCGGAAGCAAAATCACTTGGCAAGTATTCACAAGAGTTAGCATCACCTGTCTTTAACAGCTCATGGCAACAAGGTGTTGCTTTCTGAGTGCAGGCTGTGTTGTTAAGCATCTTAGACAGGATGACATTTAGTATACTGTAGGCTGCATTTCCTAAGCTACTTGCCAAAACCCCAGTAAAAAGGTCAAAAAAGGATTCATATGACACAGTCTGAAGTAGAAACAATATGCAAATGGAAAATTAAAGATAAATTTTGATTTATTGCTTTTCCTTAAAGCTTCACTCTCGACTTGCCAGTAACTGTTATAATATCTTCAGATTTCTGCTGTGGCTGCAGACAACCCAGATGAGCCAGGGAATGGAAGGAGATGCTCTTTCTGAATAGCCCCTACTAATTTCCTTCAAACCCTAAGACTATAATTTACACCAGATCCTTGTTTTTCTAAGCAGAACAAATGCTACTGGTACTGCTGGGTAACAAAGCTTATCCTGTGCCAACTGACTGGTCAGTATTTAATGTGATCCTTCAGACCACAAAAGCCTCTCTGGGTGTGGGAAGAGAGCAATCTCCACAGCCTGCTCCTGCTCCTGCTGCACCACGCTCCAGCACAATGACCTGGAAACATGCCAGGTGTGGGAAACCATCCACACTCAGAGAGACATGACAATCCCAACCTTGTTTCCAACTGCCTGAGTCAGAGGTAATTAATTTACAACTTCAGCGTGTAATTGCTTTTCTCTACTTTATAACAGTATTAATTTCACGAAGTTGCCGACCAAAACATGCAACCACCAGATGTTCCTGGTTTTCCAAAATCTACTCTCTCTACGTGCTTCATTTACAAGTGTCACAAAGCATTTAAAAATATATATAACTCACTGAACATGGAAATGATGGTGATGTCAAATGTGTTGGGATGGAACTGAGTGAATCAGGCAGATGAAGGAGGCTGATTCACCTGAGGGATGCAAAAAAATCAGCAGCAACTGAGGAAAATCCACAGAAAAGCTAGAGTGCTCTCCATGTTGCCATCCTGCCTTTGGAGATGGAGGCTGCAGGTCGGGGTCACAAATCAAACACAACTCAATGTGACCTGAGCAGAAATCTGTTTAGAGGCCCAGGGGGACGAACACACCTCTGAACCCTGGCAGGAAGAGCACTGACCCTGTCCTTCCCCAACAATGTCCTCTGCTGCTCCCCCTCCTCCAATCAGCCCCTGAGGTCTCACCTTTTGCATGGTACCTGCAGGACTCAGAACGTCCCTTTGGAGAGACACCTGCCATCAGCCACAGCTGCACTGCTCTGCCACCCTCACTGACACTGCTCATTAAGAATGCTGATCTCAAGTCCTGAAAGCCCCCCAAAAAGCCTTACGACACCCAAGAAAATGATGATTGAAATTTTAAAATCAAACAGGAATAGAGGTTTTAGAAAGGCAAACCCGTCCTCTACTCGAGAGCCCTCTACTCTAGCCACTACCATCTCCTGCTCCAGTCTGATTGATGTAATGAATTATCCACCTACCAATCTAAATCTAGATACCCAAGGTTTTATGAAGATGAATCTAAACAACAAGTGTCCTGGAAATGGAAAAGATAAACCAGACAATGCTCCAGAAATCTGCTCTCAGCTTTTATCCTGCTAGTAACCTTAACTACTGAGACAAAGACGGTGGACACACGAAGTGTCTGGAGATTTTCTCTGCTCTTCTCTAGCTGCCTCAGCTAATAACAGATATAAAATATCCTTAAACCACTGAGTCAGGGCAGCATTCATGCCGAAGGAACATATGGCCTGCATACCTGCGAGATGTTTTTCTGGACAGCAGCATCTGTCTGGACAATTAATCTCTGCCAACAGCACACGTCAAGCCCAGACGCCTACGTTAAGAACCTCATCACAGGTGAAGGCACACCTGTCATAGACACAGGGCTCTGTGATCGTTCCCAAACCTCAAACAGGGCATCCTCCCCAGATCCAAGCACAGTAGGCACAAGTTGCACTATCTTCCTCCCAACAGCCATCTAGTCCCACTGGAAAAAGGGTATTTTTTTACGTATTATGGTAAAAACACATGGCCAATGCAAAGGTATTTTTTAAAAATGACCAAACAAAATGAGTGTGTAAGATTTCCCTTACAGGCAGACGTCTTGCATTAGCAAAGCCGCCAGCAGTGCTAGAGATGAGGAAACATGGTGGGGACATCCAAGGTTATCAAGGCACACCACGGAGCTGAAGCCAAACCTACAGCATAGGAAGCCCATACAGGTATGCTTGTGATCAGCGAACAGCAGACACAGCTCAACAGTTCTTTTTTATAGCACATACTCCTTATCTCCATGTGCAAAGTGGCCAAAACACGCAGTCTTAGCAGGGGTGATAAAAGCCTTCGCTCTGTGGGCAACTCATCCTGGACATGTCTCACACCTCTCCTTGAGGAAATGTCCCAGGGATTACTGACAACACCTTGCAAATGATCTACTCCAGTGAATATACTCTTACAGAACGCCCGGAAACCAGCACAGAGTGATTTATTTTCCAACAGATGCTTAGAACGACATGGGAAAAGAACAAGTATGCTGGATCTTAAATAGTCTGTATAGGTAGCAGGACTATGATTCATTCATTATCTAAAAATAAACACTCAGGGGGAGGAGGGAACACTTTTTAGGGGGAAGGGACTGATCACAGTACACTACTGCTTCTCCAAAAGACATGAAGCACTAGGCAGGTAATTTAAAATATGAGTAACTCCTACAAGAAGGAAGTATATAGAGTTAAAAATATAGGAAATTAACGTCCACACTACCTGAAATGTAGCCACTTCCTTATAAAACATTTGGCAATTTCAGGGAAATATTCTATATTTCAGAGCTTTTCAAAATGCTGCCAGAGTACTGTGATCACAATGACTCACTGAAGCTGCACAAAGAAAAGAATCAAACAGGGACATTTTGAGACTATCCAGAAGGAAATGAAGCATGGCAAGAAAACACACTATTTTTATCGGTGCTTTGTTTCATGTAGCAATTGCAGTGTTCCAGTCAGACAGCTCCATGCTCCACAATGCAGTTCCAGCAAATTTCTTGGAGTTGCTCTCCTGCACCTCGCAGCTTCCCACGGCAGCAGCCAGGGCTTGGCAACGCAGCCAGAGACCAGGGAGGCTCAGGATTCCAGAGACTTGCAACTGATGACTCAGTCTGTATCTCATGTCTTCTCACCCCTTCCATAGGAAGAAGCTGCTGCTTTTTTTGTTTGTTTCTACTTTCCCTATTAAACTAGAGATGTCAGACAGAAGTTGTGTCCTTACACTTTTGCACGTCAGGACTCTCCAGGGCCCCCTGCACAGTGACTCCTGTCTGGGTTGCTACTTTGCCCAGAAGCTCTCTCAAAAAGCACAGCTATGCCAGGACAGAAAACACCTGAACCTCAGACAAACAAAACTAGAGCCACTGGGTCAGCCAGAATTAACTTTTTTAGGCTTAATTTAGGATGGCTTCCAGCCTCACCTTTATAGAACCCCATATGAAAGACTGAGAGAGGCCAGAAGAAAGCTCTTACAGGTGGTGGTGTTCCTACAAAGAACAGTTTTGAACTCTTGGCTGACACAGCCAAAGGAAGAAAAATCATTTAGGAGAAGAAAACTATCACCTATCTATTTGTATTGCAATCCCCACCTGCTGTACCTTACTCCAGGCTCAGCACATACCATGTTTGTGAGCCACACACCTCTCAATTTTAGTGGTTAGAAGCACTCTTTAATTTTTGCCCTCAGTCTTTTTGACAGGGACCTCTTGCTCCTTCCAGGAGTCTGTTCTTTCTGCAGCTTGTTTATCTTTTCCCTGTTTCCTGCAGGAATGGTGTTAGGATGTCACTGTGCCTCAACAAGAAGGAGTTTTCAGTTTCAAAAGCTCTTATGCAAACAGCCAGTCGTCTCTCCTCACTACACACCTTTTCCTTACAACCAAAACAGTTCCTAGATAACTCCCTTGAGTTTTGTTTATACATAAAGATCTTGATTCAATGGATAATGAATTGGAAAGTAGCTCCACTGCCTTCAAATACAGGATACTCTGCATTTGTAAAAAACAAAAAAAGCTATAAAACAAGCCCCCACCCATCAGCTACCATCTCAGTAACAGAGAGGGAAGTGACACACACAAGCCATGGCCCAGTAGGATGTAAAGTCAGTTTTACTGTGGAGTATGTGGAAGGGAGCCTGTCAGCACTCGCAGGATCAAGTCTGCTTTGGGAAGAAGACCTGAGAGCGAGGAGGGCAGAAGCAGTGATCTCAGTTTTGCATTTGGAGTGACCCGAGTGCAAGACTGAGTGGAAGACGTCTCTTACTCAACCTGCCAAAAGTAGTGGCTGCAGCCTGCAGTGCCCCTTGGGTGCTCGATGTCACTGCTGCCCCACAGAACGCTCCTGTGATACGAAATGGAGGTAAACCACAACTCTGGAATCACAGCTTTCCACGTGGTCACCAAACAAATTCCTCATCACACCAGCTGAGCCCAGCCAGGACTCTGCCCTTCCCCAGGTGGATTTTAATGCCTATATTTTTCTGTATTAAAGAGCACAGTTTGCTTACTGGCAGTTCCTCAGAAGTTGCTCATAATTTCATTTCAAATACAGGAGATGCCAAAGTTACCCCAGCATTCACCCTACTCATGTCTCCTTCCCTGCTCCTAACTGCATTTTGCTCTCAGTGGAAAAAATGGTTTATAAGCAGGACATTTAAGTCGCTTCCAGTTACATCCAAGTCCAGGTTTG